GAAAAATATCCCCTGAATATTGTCTGTGATAGGTTTTGAATTTTCAGATTGATTCTTCCTTAGTCTACATGTATTGTGTAGTATTCTCATGACATGACAAATATATTGCAGGTGCTGACATACAAAGGGTTCTATGACAGTAATTTGGAATGGGTTGGATTGGAAGGGGTTCAGATAGTTGCTAGTATGAATGCCGGTAACACACTTGGAAGACATCGACTGACAAGTAGATTCACATCCATAGTACGCATATGCTGTATAAGGTAAGATTCACACAAACTCTTCCAATATTCCAGGTACTGTATTTTCACTTGGAATTTATTTCGCTATTTTTGCTGGAGGGGTTTGATGAATCAATGAAAATGAAATACATTGTACAGGGAAAATGCTTGTTTTCCTATATTTACTTTCAAACCCCTAAAAAGTCAGTGAAAAAACACAAAACAGCCAAACTGATCAGTATATTTCTTATTTAAAAACAATGATTTAACTATACTTTGAATAAATCTGTATCAAGCTTCCTAAAATAGTTGTTTTTGTCTTGAACAGTTACACAGATATTGATCAACTTCAGTCGATCTATGGTGCGTATTTGACACCTGTCCTGCATCGTAGTCTGCAATCACATCCTGTTTGGGCATCATCAGCTAAAGTACATCAATTGGCTGGCTCCATGGTTCAAGTATACGAACAGGTAAATCAGAAATTTCTAAACTTAACATTTTTCTGTAGTTTATGATTGCCATGGTATCAAATCATGGCTATGTTTTAGATGTGTTGTTGTGAATTGTGAAGTAGTATGCCCTCCAATAAAACTACATGTAATATGATTCTTCACCGATGCACTAAGATTTTTTGTGATGCAACTCGTTATGCTTATTACTAACACAACAGAAACTCATACTGCAATGTAATGATTGTGAAAAATACATCTTTAGGTAATGAATGAATTCATACTTTATAAACATGCAAGAGTAAAAACAGAGAAACAGTTTAGTTTGTGTCTTCAAGGTTTTCTACAGCCACATGCAACATGCAATCTTAATTTTTTCCTAATACCTCTCTCCTTGGCTGTAACCAAGCTGATTTTTGATTTTGATTTTATTTTGATTTGAGATTCCTATAAAATCAGGGCACATTAAATCCATGTATAAAGAATTTACCCTCAGTCATATGACTTATTGTTACTTTAATTTAATTTACAGACTCGACACAAGTTCTCAGTTGATGACTACAGTCATTATCTATTCACTCCTCGTGATTTGTCACTGTGGGTTCTGAGTCTACTGAGGTATGATCTGAATGCATCTGCATCTGAGAGCAGCAGTGATCATGTGTTAGAAATATGGGCGTATGAAGCAAGGAGACTGTTCCGCGACAGACTAGTTGGCACCGATGGTCTTGCAAAGTTTGACAATATCGTGATGGGTGTATTGCAGTCTGATTGGAGTGCTGGCCACTTGCTGGATAGGCTAGAAGGTGAAAATAACTGCATTGCACCGTTTGTGTTCGCAAATGTTCATACAAACGAGTGATTTTCAGTGACTTGTTTTTTCACATATTTTTTTGCATTCATGAATTGATTACCTAAGTACTGGTAGTAATTTGTTCAATTCTATTTTCTGATTGTTAGCTGCTTTCTATGTGACATGGGGAGCCAGAGCTGACAGTGGGCTATCAGCACCAGGTGCACCATTACCACCCAATGGTAAACCACTAGGAAAACTGAATAAAGATGATCTTAGAGAGGTGATCAATAAAGGATTGGTACAGTATGGTAAGAATAATATCCTAGATATACTAAAAAAACATTTGTAGTAGAATTTCCAATAGAAGGGCATTAAAAGCAATAATATATGCATATACTGAATTCTGAACCAGAAATAGATGGCTTGTTTTAACCATAGACATTTCTAATAAACTAAAATAATTCATTGCATGGATTAGTGGAACAAATTTCAACCAATCAAAAGGAAAATTGGGCATGCGTCCTGATAAAACCAACGAGGATGGTGTGATTGAACCATCTTTAAAATGAGAACCAACAAATTATAATTTGTATGTCGTAGTAATAATGTTATGCCGTGCTTTAATAGTACTGTAATAGAACTTTCCCAATTCCACCTTCGGGAGAATTTCCACCAAATTCCACCATATCTCTCATGCCAACAAATTCATTTTATGATTATTTTATAAATATTTTATGCAATAACACTTCTATAAATTGCAGTACTCTGACATTGTTGTTTTTATTTCACACTTCCTTGTGCAATTAAGGATTGATTTCTGTTCCTTGTCATTACAGGTCGTGAGAACAGAGAACTGGACATCATCTTGTTCAGAGAGACCCTTGACTTCATGGCTAGAGTTGACCGTGTTCTAACACTTCCCGGTGGTTCACTGTTGATGGCTGGTAGGAGTGGTGTTGGTCGACGTACTGCCGTAACTGTTGCTTCATACATGCACCGTATGCAGTTGTTTACACCAAAGATTGGCAGAGGATATGCAGTTAAACATTTTAAGAATGATCTTAAGACAGTAAGTCAAATAAATCAGATTTTATATTCAAATATATATCTACTTCTTTCTCTCTGTTGACTTTATTACTCAAATATCTAATTCTTAATTTAGTCAATTGACTAAAAGTCGAGTAGTGAGGACAAATAAGGTAAAATTAATATAAGGTTATTACGAGGATACCTCAAAGTATGCACAAAGACAGTATAACGATAGTATCGACCGATGTGAAGGCGTGCTGTCTAAGTGCATACTTTGAGGTATCCTCATAATAACCTTATTATTATACATCTTTTCCTTCCAAGGATACATCATGGGAATGTCGAAATCCAAAAAATTTAGAACAGAATCAGTGAACTTCTTTGTGTGGAGTCCGGTCAAACCCTGTTGGCAGCTGTGTTTGTTTTTATTATTAGAAGACGCTTATGCGCATAATCATTTTATATTTGGAATTCAAATTTCCTAATATAGTGGAATGGAAATATCCCCTAAAATACCGCAAAATTACGGCACGCTGTAACTTATGGCATTACAGTGACAGATGTATATTTAATATAATAGTGAATAATATTTATCTTTCTATCCCTGCTCTCAAGTGATTGGGTATAGCATACTGTTATGCTGCTACACTGATGTAGGGTAAATTAATAAATAACATCTAGAAATACAATGCCATGCATATTGCTGTTACTTAGTGTGATGCCACCAGACACACCGTAGAACACTGACTCTCCCTCCATTCTAGGTGATGCAGCTTACTGGTGTTGAAGGAGAACAAGTGGTCTTACTACTAGAGGATCACCAGTTTGTAGAACAACAGTTTTTAGAGTTAATTAACAGTCTGCTAGCTGCTGGTGAGGTACCTGGCTTGTACACACCTGAAGAGCTGGAACCCTTGCTGTCACCACTCCGTGACCAAGCATCAGAAATGGGTTTTAGGGGCACATTGATAAACTATTTCGCTTCACGTGAGTATAATTAATGCTATATTTATGCTCTTGCACATGTATGTGTGGCAGTATCAGAAATATATACTGTAAAAGACTTTATTTTTGCTTGGAATTAATTTTCACTATATTTGCTGAAGGAATGGTTCAGTGAAAATGAAATCCAGTTTATATACATTTTTTCCTATAATTTAAATTCAACTCGTCAAAAATCAGTGAAAATAAATTTCATCCAAAACACCCAAAAAGTTTTTTCAACGAAAATTATTTTCAGCTAAAATAAATTATTTTACAGTACATGTACATGTAGAAATGCTTTATATCATTATAGTGAGAATAAATATGGTTACATCCAGTCATTGAATCATTGATTTTGAAGGTCAATAATGAAAATCTAGTGACCTCTAAAGTTTAATTTCTCTGTAGGTGTGCAGACAAACCTCCATATTGTGCTAGTAATGGATAGTTCAAACACCAAATTTTCAGTCAATTGTGAAAGCAATCCATCATTCTATAAGAAATGTTCAGTACAGTGGATGGACAGCTGGAGTAGAGAGAGCATGCTTAAGGTGGGTGGTAACTTTATACAACTATTGTCTTTAAGTTGCATCATGTGAAACGAATATATTGAAATGAGGTCTAGTGTCCAGTGAACGTTTTGAATATTTCTTTTAAAAAAATGTGTTTCTGGTGATCATTATTGTTCTGTGATAAAGAATTGTACATGTATTACAGACTTGTGGCGGGTACAAAAATTGTTTTGGGGCATGGTTGAGCAAACATTTAAAGAAGCTGTATTTTATCAATTCAGCAGCGAAAATCTGGCAACCACAACTGATGAAAACAAGGGTTTTAAAACCTTCTAAAAACTGTGCTTTGGGCTAGTTGTTGAGACTTTGAAACAGTACTGTTTTATTGACTTTAGCTGTTTTCATCGGCTCTTTGACCAGAGTTCCATAGCATCTCGCGCAGAGCCCATAGAAATACATGGTACAGTGGTGCGTGTCTCCCTGAGAATGTTTTTAAGACATTTTTCTCTTTTTTAAAATCATTTCAGATTCCTAAGATCTTACTAACTCGTGCACCAAAGGTAGAAGGTGCATCTCTGGCCAGCAAAGATAAACAGCGTAAGCGTAAACTATCCGGTGGTGATGAACTACTCAAGAACTTTCTACAGATTCATGAATCAAGTGGGAGGATTATGTCGACTCCACGTCGTTACATGACGTTCCTTTGTACATACATGTCTGTGTATGGGAATAAGAAACAACATGTTGAAAAAAGACAGCACCATTTACAGGTAGGAAAACGAATCACTAGATTTTATAGGCCTTTGCAAAGCTCCAAAGGCTGAAATATGGAAGTGTGGTTATTCTAATTCTGGTTGCTAACCGATTGTATGCCTGTTAATGTGTGAAGACGGTTGCATACACATAAATCCTGATTACCGGTACCGGTAATTAACATTTAGCCATTTGTTTGCCATCATTGTTACATAAACATAAGTTATTTTCACAATTTTGCTTTCAATTTGACTATTTTTCAAAAAAATCTTGCAAGATAAATTTGGCATACATATTAAATTGCAGACAAAAAAACAGGTTTTCGATCTTGGTTTTCTGGAACTCTTGTACGAGGTGTTAACTGATTAGTGACATTTTTGTGAACATTCTTGTTTTTTTAAATTTTTTTTTGTGCCAGGCGACAGTTCCGGACATTAAGTGTCACTGTTGTCTCTCCTGACTTTTTTTTTTTATGTGCAAATTGCAAGTGCTAGTGACGACACATAGTGCATTTTGCCACAGAAGTCATATTCATGTTTGGGACTACATGACAGGGCTGTGTGGCCATCTCTCTGTCAAATGTTGTTCAAGGTCCATTATATAGTCAAATCTCAAGTTATTAAAACTAAAATGTTAAAAATAATATGGGATTAAATGTTATATCATAATTTTTGTATGAAAATGATGTTCAGGTCAATGAGTGGTACAAAATGTTTGTGCCAACAAATTTATTTTTTGTTTGCAGAATATGAGATCTTGTCTCAAGCCATAGTGATTATTAAGTTTAATTCTACTGGTTTACACTACTATACTGCATTAATAAAGAGCCCTAATATCCGGGATTTGTTGAACGAAAGTATACCCATGTTAAGGCATAGCGCCCTCACATGGCCAAGTGATACACATGTAGTGTGTCAGTCGTAGAGGTCATACTCACCCATCTAATTAGTTGTTGAGTTTCAAAAAAAATAAAACAATATCATTTTATGATTTCATAAAATGACTATGGTATCTGATGAGGGTAAAATTGTTTTATATGTCAGGCTGGGTTATCCAAACTGAATGAAGCATCTGCTTTAGTGGAAGAACTGAAGAGTAAAGCCGCCCAGCAGAGTTTGTTACTAGCCCAGAAACAAGAAGAAGCTGATACAGCACTGGGTGAGATCACTACTAGTATGCAGGTAAGAAAATGACAAGATGCATGTGTGATGTCCCACACTACAGATATGAGTACAGGAAAATATAACCACACCATCATACTAATTGGAAACTATATTTGTTTGGGTTTACTACCCATTACAAAAATACCATTGTTATGCACTTGTGATATCTGTGATAAAATAATGTGAATTTTAGACATTTAACTTTGAATGATTTGGTTTCTCACAGAATGCCAGTGAACAAAAAAGTGAGATGGAAACACTGAAAGCTAAGACTGCAGAAGAGAATGTAAAACTAGAGAAGAGAAAGAAAGCCATCGATATTGAATTATCTGAAATTGAACCATTAGTGAGAGAAGCTAAACAGGCTGTGGGTAACATCAAATCAGAAAGTCTGAGTGAAATCCGGGCACTGCGTGCACCACCTGATGTGATTAGAGATATTCTAGAGGGCGTACTCAGACTAATGGGCATCTTGGATACATCATGGAACAGTATGAGAAGGTATAATTTAATTGACCATTAAGTATGGGGCTGTGGATAATTTGTACATGCCCACAGCAAACATAATCTTTTTGTTTAGGTGAGGGGGACAAGGGTTATTTCAATTACACTATGTGCGAAAATTACATTGTATTGTTTACATAGTTTTTACAATTCTTTTGCACTTGCAAACTTTTGTTTACAGGGGGTGAAGCATGCTTGATGACAAGATTTACTTTTGCTGTACTCTAAAATGCTCACTAGATCAAGTGGAGAATTTTATTACTTACATGTCTGATTTGATGATACTGTAGAATACTTTATTTTTGCTTGGAATTTATTTTCGCTATTTTCGCTGAATGGATGATTCCGTGAAAATAAAATCCAGCGAATATACTTTTTTTCCTATATTTCACATTAAATTCATCAAAAATCAGTGAAAATAAGTTCCATACAAAACGCCCAAAAAGCCTTTTCAGCGAAAATTAATTCCAGCGAAAATAAAGTATTCCACAGTATTAAATTGCGTCATCATCTATTTGCAGCTTTTTAGCAAAAAGAGGTGTGAAGGAAGAAATCTCCACTTTTGATGCTCGTAAAATAACTCCAGATATTCGAGAGGGATGCGAGGACTTGCTGCAGAAGAGAGGGAGTTCCTTTGAAGCAAAGGTGATTAAAGCATCATTTGTAATTATGATAAATAGCTGCAGCCATCTGTTTAAAATTGGTATGAATATACTAAAAAATCTTATTAAACATCAACATGTAAATCTGTGTAAACCTGAAACCAGTGTAAAAATGAAAACTTTTTTGAACCAGTGGAAATGCGTAAAAATGAAAACCTGTTCGAACCAGTAGAAATGTGTAAAAATGAAAAACTGTTTGAACCAGTGGAAATGCGTAAAAATGAAAACCTGTTTTGGCCAAATCGTGTGTACCTGAATCATATGTCTAACCCAAACTATAAATCTTTTTACTGTAGACTTGCTTATATGCACATTGTATATATGCTATGGTATAGACATCACTGTAAATCACTATTACTTTGACTGCTGTTAACTACTGTTATTAATCCACTTCTGGTCAATATACGGATATTGACTTGAAAAAAGTTACAGCCTATTTTGAAGAAAACGATTGATACATGTAGCTTGTCACTAATGGAATATTTTTACCTTCGATTTCTATGGTGGATATGTTATGCCATTTCACAAATTGTAACCTAGTACATTACGTATATATCGTAACTAAGGGGATACTTTTCATATCCTGAATAATTTTTAAAAGTGACAGAAAATGCTATTTTGTTTCAAATTAACATTCTTTTCTATGTAATAGTTCCAAACATATTGGTCAATTTACTGTACTAGATACAGTACTGTAACACCCTGCAGATCGCTGTTATCACAGATATATTGCTCCACAGGTGTACCTAATAAACCAGTGGTCATTGTCATATAATATTTGACAAACTTTTCCAAAAATCAAAAAGGCAACTACATTAATAATGGTTTTACTGTTTTAATTCACAGAATGCCAAACGTGCCAGTGCTGCCGCTGCGCCATTGGCTTCCTGGGTTAGAGCTAATGTCAAGTACTCCTATGTATTAGAAAAGATTGAACCTCTAGAGACGGAACAAAATCAGCTCAGAAAGTAAGAGTTTCCATTACTCCTCAATTGATTAGCTTTCTGATGATTACATTGTATCCTGTGTATAGCCATTGCCTCTTCAATGTTGTCAATCTTTTTGTTATTTGCTTTGTCATGCATAGACTTTGTCCCCATCATATTGTCAATGCATTTTTCTGTCAAAATGGTTTGCAAAGAACAGAAATTACATTATAAGAAAAGAAAAAAATATTATGTGAATACCAGATTAAGGTTGAAATTATATACATGTACATGTATGTTTCCAGTCAAAACAATTAAACTTTGTAATTGCTCATGTTTACAAAATGTCATTTTATTTTCCATGATGCATATAGGAATCTGCAGAAAGCAATGTCTAGAATGGAGAAACTCCAGAAAGGTCTAGATGAAGTGGATAGGAAGGTATCGGAACTGAGAAATAAATTTGAGAAACGTACAACGGAAGCTGCCAAGTTGAAATTAGACTTAGATAAAGCCCAGGATACTATACAGAGTGCGGAGACGCTGGTTGGGAAGTTAGAAGGTGAACATCAACGCTGGAATGAGCAGGTATGGAGTTACTCAGTATATGGGAGGTTTTCACGGCTGAACACACTCCAGTGGTGTTTCAATTATTTGTAGTTGAACTTATTTCTTAAGTTATACAAATGTGTGGAGGAAAAAGAATGCATTTCTACATGGAATTCCTATCATATGAATGTAGCACCACTACTAGGTAATGTACTATCTTTCTTTAATATTTGAGATTTCACTATAAATATTGTTGGAGTACAGTACAATCTGTATTAGAAGTAACATTTCTAATAGAAGCCACACCCATTCTTATTGAATAGTTGAGAACCAAAAATTCACCATTTCTCATATGTTGTAGATGCTCTCTATCATGCGTATCCCTTTATTGCATTAACTTCTAATACTAGTGCAAATTTTAAAGTACTTGTCCCAGTCTCATTCCTCGGGAGGATTTATACAAATTGTTTATAATTTGAGAGATGATTTTGGAAGGTTTAAATGATGATCAGGGACTTATACCAGAAACTCCCTTCAGCAATGAGTAAATTCACAGTGGTGGTTGTTTATACTGTGTTCATTAGGTTAAGGAGTTAGCAGAAGAACTAAAGACCCTGCCAAAGCGTGCTCTTCTAGCTTCTGGCTTCATCACTTACCTGTCATCAGAACCGGAGGACATCCGACGCAATAAACTGTTACTGTGGATGGAGTACACAGGTCTGAATCAGTTTGATTTGAGACGATTCATGAGCACAGAGAGTGAGCAGTTGATATGGAAAAGTGAAGGATTACCGGGTGATGAGTTGTCAATGGAGAATGCCATGGTTATATTGCAGGTGAGGAAGTAATTGCATGCATGTAATAATAAATCAGACAATGCTACTCCATGTGTACTCCAGCTTTGTTGTCTTATCTCATCTATGCTAATAACTTAACATATCAAAGTGGCAATTGACAAATAAATGCATTTTTTCGCAAACAGGTACAAATGTGGCATAAATCATAAAATTTCAGATGCTTAAGCTTGTCTTTATTTTAAAAAACGATGTTAATATACTTTGCTTAGAAAACAACTATTCTCCTCATCAAGTTATAAATCATCCAGCTCCCTTCCTCATTTAAAACCCTGTGCAGTAATAACAACCAGCTTAATGTTGCATGTTATCTACAATATATAATTTAATATTTTAATTTGTATTGCTGTACATTCCATATCTGCTTGCTGTTTTTTTATATCTTTGGATTAGTTTTGTATATACCTTATTAATTGTCTTAATAAGTAGCTCAACATGAACATAATTAAAATTCTTTGCATGTATTATATATATAACAAAAATAATTTCAAAGCATGGCAATCACTGCATTAACATTGCTTCATTTATCTGCTTTATAATACCGGTAAACATCGTGTCCTCAATACTAATCTCTAACTTCCAAACATGTATTTCCTTTTTTTCTCCTCATTGTTAATTGGCGATGGGTTTTTATTAAATTCATTGCATGTGGGAAAACATATTAATTTATGTCCCATGTACATGTGTTTGCATCTGTGACTGTGATAATGACGATGATGATGATCATGGTAACTGTACTTGGTTTTAACAGATTAATGAGCTTCAAGTTGGGGTAAGACAAAAACGTGGTATAATATATATATCTATATATTATATATTTATTTATATATTATAGTATAAATGTGTTGCTGTGTGGGCTTTCTCTGCAAGTCATTCTTTTATTGTCTCTTCTTCCAAATATCTTCATCATCAAAGTCATCCACTAGTACACACCAGTGGAGAATCTCACTGTTACATGTGTTTATGTCAGTAAGCCACTTTCCCTGAAATGGAGATTATCTCTACAGTAGAAGTTCTTTCGATTAGTATCCATTACAGTGCTTCATTTTTTTGGAGAAATTTCCCAATATATTTTTTAGGTGTGAACAAATTAGATTAAAATATTGAGAGAATATCTGCCAATTGGTAGATTGTTTTTGAACATTGATAACCCATCCTTAAAATGAATATAAAGTTTTTGTTGGGCTGTTCTAAAAATGCACGTACCTCATAAATTGCTCATTGTTTGGTTGTCAAAAAATATTGAGTCAATGTCTCCTGATTGGAACCTACCTGTACATTTGCGATAGTCTCCGTTTTGGGAGAGAGTGCCTTGCTGTATGTATTTCGGCCACTGTTCTCTTTTTTAGCTTTTGTTTTTATGATCAATAAAATTTTACTGCAGCCATTATGAAATGTTTCTGAATCAGTAGATCCACAAGTTAAATATTTGTTTTATGTGTGGATGGTTAATTGTGTTTCAATTTAAGTGAAAATGCCTCTCCTTATGTGTAATCCATGAATGTTGCAGCCAAGCTTTGGAACTTGTGTGAATATAGCCTACCCTGTTTGTACTGCCTGTCTGGCTTAATAGTTGCTGTAGTAGTTTACTGTAAAGTGAAACTCAAGAAGTAATAAATGCAATAATTCACTAGATGAGAATGTATGTGATGTTTCACTATACATCTATGCACGGGCAGATTCAGATTGGTACTCTGAGTACCGCCCAATGGTGAAATATTTGTCATGCCAATTTGAATTCTGGCAATCTTCTACCGACCAGGCGTAAGTGGGCGTATCCCTGGATCTGCTACTGATATGCCACTCCTCTAGTGCTTAGCTACAGTGCTAGTACCCGGTAATATTCCATTACCTATTCAGATTTATGTAAATTATAAATGTAATAAAACAGATATTATGGGATATTATAAGCACTTTGAAGGATAATATATGTTAATTGTCTAATTTTAAAAGTGATAAATTTCCCATAATCATATCATAATCATGATGATACAATGTTTTCATTAACCAATTAAATCTATGGTCAATAGATAACAGATATTACTAGCACCATAACTAAGCATTTAGAGAAGCAGTGCGATTTACTCTACAGAATCATATCCCTTGGACAAATTCCTAAAAAAGTGAAAAATGTCAGTATATTGTACCCTCAAATCAGTACAATGTACTGGGTTAACCAAATCATCGCACGTTTGAAAGACTTGTAAAAATGAAACATGATATGAAAACAAAAACAGCATAAATAAAGACTTGGCTATTTGTGACATTGATTGACCATTTATTGCTATAAAATTCTGTATGCCAGTGCTGTCATTAGTTTTATTTAAAAATATAGTTGGAGGAATATATATTGGAGAAAAATAATACTGTGCCATGTTCTCTCAGAATCATTAACAACATTCACTACTATAACAAATCAACAGATTTTCGGTTAACAATAAAATTTAAATATTTAATAATAGTCCTGCTTCCCATAGTTGAGTGGAAATAATTGATTATACCACAGCATCATGTATAAAGTATATTTTCTTTCTGACCATTCTCATCAAATTGATTCTGCTTTAACAAATTATTAAGTCTGCGCTATATATCAATGCATGTTTTAAACCTCCTCTTCAATCTGCTGAAGAGAAACAAAATTTATGATCTCAATTTGATTTTCAGAGTTCACTTCGACCCTTCTTAATTGATCCATCATCCAGAGCTACTGAGTGGTTGAAATCTCATTTAAAAGAATCCAGACTAGAGGTTGTTAATCAGCAGGTGAGTCTTCATGATTCGAAAATAGCTACCGTACCACCTCAGTTTATTTATGACACTTATATTATTTTTAGCTCCACTGTCACCAAAGATGACTGAGTGGAGCTATCACCTTTGAACTTCTATCATTGTTTAATTAGTCCAATTCAGGCGAAATCCTAAAATGATTGATCTCTGCATCCATATGTGCGTCTGTTTTTCCGTCCATCTGTCTGTATTCTGCCATATCTTGCGCTTTGGTCGATCAAGTTTAAACTTCACATTTACATCAGACATTATATGCACTTGCATTTGTTTTATGATTCAATTCAAATTGCTCCAATGGAAAGATTCTGTTTAAACTTTGTACATACATGTATGTTGAGCGTGATGGGACCTTAATGCACATCATTATATTTTCTAATAATTGGGTTCGAAATGGCCGTTTTGTTTAAAAGAATGCCATTCCATATTTTTCATATTCAACATGCCTGGACCAATCAAAGTTCAAATAACAGATACATGATGATAAACACACTTAAAGGGCAAGGCTTCACTACTTTCACTATGTTTTCTTTTAGGATGCTAATTTCACAACATCATTAGAGTTAGCTGTGCGTTTTGGAAAAACTTTGATCATTCAGGAAATGGATGGTATTGAACCAATTTTGTATCCCATTCTTAGAGGAGATCTGATCAGTCAAGGTACGTTTCATGTCAACTGTTGTAGAACCTTGGATACTGCATGTACATGGAATACTTTGAATTATTTTAGCCAAACAAAAACCAGCAAATTAGGTTGATATGAGTGATATTATCACTGATCAGAATAAACCACATGACTGTGCAATTAATGTTAACCCTTTTGAATGCCATATTTTTTCAAACCAAAATTTTGCGACATATGCAACATTTTGCCTATTTTAAAGTATTTTTTCATAATTTTCGATCATCAGGTGGATATAATTTTCTAGATCAAAATTTTGAAAAAAATCTGTGAAAAAAAAAACACGTTTTTTTTTACCTCTGTTGACTTTGTCGAGCAAAGCTTATCATATGAGTGATTGTCCGTCGGCGTCTGTCGTCCATGTCAACTTTTTCGACTTCTTCTTGAAAACTACAAGCCTGAATGCTTTGATGTATATGTACCTTGGGTAGACTTCTCTTAGATTTGTTCATTTCATGATGATATCTTCAATTCTCTAATTTTGGTGAATATTTTTGGTAATTTTTGGTAAAAAGTGATATTTTCGACTTCTTGTTAAAAACCACAACTCTGATTGCTTTGATATTATATATATATAGGTACTACATGTTAACCACTCTCAAATTTGTTCATTTCGTGATGATATTTTCAATTCTCTAATTTTGATGAATATTTTTGTCATTTTTGATAAAAAGTGATATTTTCGACTTCTTGTTAAAAACCACAATCATTTATGGTGAAAAATGATCTTTTTGAATTCTTGTTGAAAACAGCAAGTCCCATTGCATTGATACTATACATATTGTTCATTTACTAATGATATCTTCTGTTCTTTAATTGAAATGTGCATTACTAACAGCGGAGCTATCTCAGCCGAGAGATTGCTTGTTCATTTTGTGAATGGTGATGAAAGTTGACTTTGTTGCTCAAAAAATTAATATAGTACACATGTTATTTCTTTCCTCCACTGTTCCACAGGACCCAGGTATGTTGTGCAGATTGGTGAGAAAGTGATTGATTATAATGAAGATTTCCGTCTCTTTATGACGACCCGTAATCCAACACCAGAAATTCCTCCAGATGCTTCATCTATTGTATCTGAAGTCAACTTTACAACCACTAGAGCTGGCCTCACAGGACAGGTTAGTTAACAAAAACCATATGTGTCTGTACTCAGAGTGGATATCTTGTGCAAATCCACATGTGTGTATCAGTGGTGAGTTCAAGCTACATGGTAACTTATGCATTGTTTTATTGGGTTCAGTATCGTGAATAACTTTAAAATTTGATTTTGCCAAGATCGTAGACAATTGCAAATCAGTCTACCAAACCCAATATCTCAGGCTAGACTCTAATTCATACTGCTGAGTAAACAGTTGGTTCCAGGAATCAAATTCAGAACCACCATGATGCAAGATGGACATACTAACTGCTTGACAGTCCTTCAGGTTACTGTAGTGTTATTATGCACAAACAAAGCATTTTGAAATTAAATATATTCTGTATGTTGCTATTGCTTCTGCATCAATATTTTAAAGCTGTGTATTTACATTTTAATGATAGAAACATCCCAAAAAAGTATTCATTTAGTGTTATAAGAGAAACCTGTTTGGACACCAAAAGCAAAGAGCTCATAATGTTCAGTTAAGACAATGTTTTATTGTAACGAAAGTAGGGTTTAAATTGTTATTTTTGTTTCCTAGCTTTTAGCAACAACCATTCAACATGAAAAACCTGAACTGGAAGTCCGCAAAACTGAGTTACTGAGAACTGAGGAAGAATTGAAGATACAGTTGGCACAACTAGAGGAGTCGTTGTTACAAGTAAGATTTACAAACTCAAAATGACATTGAACATTCATTGAGAAAATCTACTGGAAAACCATTTATTTTCGCTTGCATTTAATTTCACTATTTTGATGCTTTTAGTATACTCACTGGGTTTTATGCAGGGAAACAATGAGTGCTATTGTTATTTTACATCATCACATGGATTTAATTTTAGTTGATATTACTTCCCAACAAAAATAGCAGTGTTAATAAGATATTATTGTATATTATGATATACTGTAGAATACTTTATTTTCTCTGAAGGGATGATTTCGTGAAAATAAAATCCAACGAATATACTTTTTTTCCTATGTTTCCCATTAAACTCATCAAAAATCAGTGAAAATAAATTCCATACAAAATGCCCAAAAAGCCCTTTCAGCGAAAATTAATTCCAGCGAAAATAAAGTATTCCACAGTATATTAGCTATTATTGGTCCTATGAATGCTGTAATTACAAAGTTAAACAGATTTTTAGTTTTATTTATTATTTTTACAAATAATATATCAAATGCACAATTTCAATATTTCTCTTTTTTTCTTCTCTTCACAGAAACTTGCCCAAGCTGAAGGTAATATACTGGAGAACAAAGATTTGATTGAGTCCTTAAACAAGACAAAGGCAAGCAGTATGACTATTGCTGAATCTCTGACCGAGTCAGTGAGACTGCAGTCATCATTAGACCAGGTAAAGTGGTGAACTAGCAAAGATATATGTATTCACATTCATCATTAAAAATAAAAATATAAAATGCTCTTATTAAATGGTCATTTTCTTTTCTATTTTATTTTTTCAATAAATGTTTAAGGGACAAAACAGCTGTATTGTAAAACTAGCTAAAACAAGTGACAATTTATATATGTAGAATAAAATTCAAACATATTTTCATACTAAACATTTGAGTACATTCTCTACTATAAGAGAAACAAATTACTTATTAAGGTCTCAAGTCACCCAGGAACTGTGATGGAACAATTGTGTCCCATTTATTTATTCATGATATCAATGTGTCAAAATCAAAAATTATCATTTTCAACAAGCAAGGTAAAATATTAAGTAAGTTCAGATTTCAAATCAATAGCCAAAAATTGGAAAACGTCTCATCATACTCCTACCTTGGTGTTAAAATCAATGCTACTGGTAAACTGAACAGAGCTCAAGAAGACCTTAGTCACAGAGCAATGAAGGCACTTTTTAAACTAAAACAATTACTCTATGCAGACCCAAATATTCCAATCAAAACACATCTGAAATTGTTTGATGCTATGGTTAAACCAATTTTACTCTACTGTAGCGAAATCTGGGCAAGCGATATTATTAATATGCACTCAACAGACTTGTTTAAACAATCCTTGCCTATGGAAAAATTACATCACAAAATGTGCAAGTACCTACTACAAGTAAACTGTAAAGCCACAAACTTGGCATGTTTACTTGAACTGGGAAGATATCCACTTATCATCTCAAGCATCAAACGTATGATTAACTACTGGCTGAAAATAAAACATATGGATGAAACCACTCTGATCTCTGAGGCCTACAAACTTGGCACCAATTTGGACAAAGAAAACGTCAGTAATTAATTACTGAACCTTTTGGAAATTAGTGATGTTTGCGAAAAAACCAGTATTATCCCATTAGCTACAAAAAAACTAAAAAATATGTTTGAGAAACACTGCACAGAAACAATGCATAATGACAATAAAGGCACTAATCACAAAAATAAACTTCGTACCTACAGACAGCTGAAAACTGATTTTGCACTTGAAAAATACCTTGAAATTATTAAAAACCCCATCCACAGATCATCTATGACTAAACTGAGGATAAGTGCCCACATACTTCAGATTGAAGTTGGGCGATATCACAACATAGATGTCTTA